GTTTGGTCTTCCAAAAGAGGACGATATCCCTAGAGCTGATCCGTGCTGGTCGCTGAGGAAATACATCAACTTCGCGCTGTGGATCGCCGGATCGGCTTTCACCGTGGACGAAGCGGAGTCCAGCCCGGGGTCGTCACATGTGGTTGCCGCAAGCCCGCCCGCCACCGCTCACCCAAGCCGGTCTCTGCTCACTCGAGCCCGCCGTGTGTGACGCTGTGTTTCGTTGTGAAAGCAAAAACTACTTTGTTTGGCCTTCCAAAAGAGGGCATGACTAGAAATCAGTGGTTAAGTTGCATTTACAACACTGTTCCAGAACAGTTCAACCCAAATATTCAGATGTCCAGCGCATTTTATGGAGGACTGTTTCCTGATCCTGGTAGAGTAGACTACAATGCCGGCTGTTCTGACTCTCAGACTGTAAGTACGTGTTTTATATTTATAGAATTTGCCACTGACGATTCAAACGTTTAAAAAGTTTCGAGCAGTGTAGAGTACCATTTGTAATTTGTAATTTCTCCGATCACAAATGCAGACATGGTTTTATGTTTATGCGGCACGATGCAATGGGTAAAAAGACAGTATAAGTCATTATAATCCGTAATTATGTCCCCACTGGATGCAACAAATGCCTCGTTTATAATGGGTTTTAATGTTTTTGTCTCGTCGCTCTGGCAGGGCATCACAATATGGTAAGGGGCGTAACATTTCCGTCACACGCTTGAGGTATTCGGCCAATCACAACGCACTGGATAGCTGGCCAATCAGAGCACACCTCGCTTTTCAGACCGATGAGCTTTGTAAAAATCGACGCGTTTCAGAAAGGCGGGGCATTGAGGAGAAACAATAATGTACAGAATGTGGAAAATAATGTTTTTTGAACCTTAAACCACATAAATATTTCATTACACCAAATAATGTTCTTTTTAGCAACATCATACGACCCCTTTAAAGACACGGATAGGTACTTAATTAGGAATGCTGTCCCTTTAAGATGGAAGGCATGCATGTAATACTGACATGCGTTCACTTAATCCATAAGTGTCTGTATTTACGTGATATACTCTACATGATAGATATTTGGACTGCTGTGTGTGTATTTGAGCACTGAGAACTGATCACGCGCTGTATATGAGAAATGAAGAAGTGGAGCGTGTGCGAGAGAGAGCACTTCTATCAGCGCGATTCCGCCTATCCCGCCTCACTAACTTTAAGTTAATCGACAACGAATTGTGACTCCCGGGAAAAATGGGACGTCTGGTCACCTTATCCCCTTCGGGTGCTGAGGCCATTGTTTCAGATCGCTAGTTTGCATTTTGGTAGCCTATCCATCCACTGCGGCTGCCATACTGAGACTAAATATGCAAACGCCCCTTATCCGATTACAAGACAGTAGCCTATAGGATGGATTTTGAATTTCCGGTAGTCCTCAAATAACATTATAGTCCTGTCTCATCTTAAAGACGCGGCATAAATTTCGTCATAATTTTTTATTAGGGGTGGGAATCGCAGGGTACCTCATGATACGATATGAATCACAATAAAACTTTAAGTTAATCGACAACGAATTGTGACTCCCGGGAAAAATGGGACGTCTGGTCACCTTATCCCCTTCGGGTGCTGAGGCCATTGTTTCAGATCGCTAGTTTGCATTTTGGTAGCCTATCCATCCACTGCGGCTGCCATACTGAGACTAAATATGCAAACGCCCCTTATCCGATTACAAGACAGTAGCCTATAGGATGGATTTTGAATTTCCGGTAGTCCTCAAATAACATTATAGTCCTGTCTCATCTTAAAGACGCGGCATAAATTTCGTCATAATTTTTTATTAGGGGTGGGAATCGCAGGGTACCTCATGATACGATATGAATCACAATAAAGCGATTCTGTGATAATCGATATATTGCTAGACAATTCTATAATGATACATCACGATATCTGCCTAACTATGAAAACAAAATGCCTGTGAAAAGGTTAAGTGCAAGTTCTCTCTCTTTATTCAAGTCCAAACTGTTAGAAAACAGCACAAAAGTTCTGTAAATCAAATTTAACATGCTAAGTAAGTTAATCATTTTATTATTGGACTTATTAGAAGCTTGCACTTGTCTTTGTGTGTAAACCAACACATTTAACTGCTTATCAACTATGACCCGTTGAATTCTTTTTGGAGCGATGACTGATTGAATGTATTTTTAGTTCAGTGCCTGCATATAAGATTAGTATTGACCAAGTTCAGAGGCTGTCATATGTGGATCAACTTATGTTGTGTATTTTCAACAGTTTCAATAGGAAAAATAACTTTTATATTGATTCAATGGATTTATTGCATTTTGGGGGGAAAAAATAATAAAATGTTATAATAAATCTTTGAAAATCAAAATCTGGATTTGAATTTTTTAATGTTATTATAACCTAAAGATGTTATGTGAAAGTTTGAAACAGAAAATAGTGGTTTTCATCTTGCCACTTTCTTGGTAAAGAAAACACATTTTTACTTTTTACTCACAATTAATCAAAATGGATTTATAGCATTTTGGAACCAAACTCTTCATTTGTTTCTTATAATTGTTCTACTGTTTTTTTTTTTTTTGCATCTGTTCTTATTTATAATAACAAAGATAGAATAAAAATAGCCATACTGTGATTATTCATATAGTAATTGTTAAGAAAAGAACTGGAGGAAAAGATGCAATGTTGCCGTGTGATTTTGTTTCGGAGCCTTCAGAAAACTTTAAAGGGGTCATATGATGTTGCTAAAAAGAACATTATTTTGTGTATTTGGTGTAATGCAATGTGTTTATGCGGTTTAAGGTTCAAAAAACACATTACTTTCCACATACTGTACATTATTGTTTCTCTTCAATGCCCCGCCTTTATGAAACACGTCGATTTTTACAAAGCTCATCGGTCTGAAAAGCGAGGTGTGCTGATTGGCCAGCTATCCAGAGCGTTGTGATTGGCCGAATACCTCAAGCGTGTGACGGAAATGTTACGCCCCTTACCATATTGTGATGATGCCCTGTCCCGGCCGGACCGACGAGACAAAAACATTAAAACCCATTATAAACTATGCATTTGTTGCATCCAGTGGGGACATAATTATGGATTATAATGACTTATATTGTCTTTTTACGTGTTGCGCTGCATCGCGCCGCGTAAACATAAAACCATGTCTGCATTTGTGATCGGAGAAATGACAAACAACAAGTGCTACTCTGCACAAAACTCGCGTTTGAATCGTCAGTGGCAAAATCTTTAAATATAAAAAAACGCACTTACAGTCTGTGAGTCAGAACAACCGGCATTGTAGTCTACTCTACCAGGATCAGGAAACAGTCCTCCATAAAATGTGCTGCACACATCTGAATATTTGGGTTGAACTGTTCTGGAACAGTGTTGTAAATGCAACTTAACCACTGATTTCTAGTCATGCCCTCTTTTTGAAGGCCAAACAAAGTAGTTTTTGCTTTCACAACGAAACACAGCGTCACACACGGCGGGCTCGAGTGAGCAGAGGCCGGCGGCCTAGAGTGAGCGGTGGCGGGCGGGCTTGCGGCAACCACATGTGACTACCCCGGGCTGGACTCCACTTCGTCCACGGTGAAAGCCGATCCGGCGATCGACAGCGCGAAATTGATGTATTTCCTCAGCGACCAGCACAGATCAGCTCTAGGCATGACGAAGCGGATATCGTCCTCTTTTGGAAGGCCAAACTAAGTAGTTTCACTTTCACAAGGAAACACACAGCGCCTTCACGACATGGCAGCGGCGGCAACAACAATACTACACGCCTTCTTTCTTTGCGTGAACATTTGGGCGACGTTATGCAAATCTTCCTACATTGTGACGTAGACATGTGGATGCGTGTTGGAACGAGCCATTTTAGGCAGGCGTGGCTGACTCTTAACTTTTATAAAGAATATCTCTTTGGATTTGAGACTTTAGTCTTTGCAACTTTACAGATCTTCTTTATACACCAAGAGCTTGTAACACTCCAAAGAGAAAGGAAAAATTGAAATCGCATCATATGAAACCTTTAAATCGATTTTTCTCAAAATTGACTTTGCTGACTATCGACATCAAACAGGTGTAGCTCAGTCATTTTTCGTCTGAATCAAATCATACATCATTTTGAAGGTTTTTTAATGGAGAATGTGAACATAAAAATAACTAATTTTTGAAAATTTGCTCATTGTGACTCATTTTGCCAGGACAGGTCACATCTTAATAGAAAAATGTTTTAATTTCTTAGTTTCTGCATGTTCTGAAGAGTGATTGTTTCAAATCATGCAGAGGTGTGTGTTGCAGTGCAGGCAGCAATACTAATAATATTACTTTTTTTCTTTTGGTCTTCCATAGTAGCATACATTTAGATTATGATAACCACAGTTAAAACCATGCAACATCCAAAAAATTCAACTACATGGTTTCTGGGTATCTGTATGAAAAACAATAGTCTAAATACATTTAATATAAATGTGAAAATACTATAGTTTAAATCACAAAAAATACTGTAATTATATTCCATTACTCCTTTAATACATGTCTACATAAATAATATAATACAATTCGATATCAATATCCCACATTTCTGCCACAATATCATGGTGCAGTTAATATTACTACAGTAAATCTGTGGTAAATGATGGCGATTCACACTGGATCTCACAGCGCTGTATAATGGTCACATGACCAAGACTTATCAGCGAGTAAACGCATCTGCTTTAGTGAGCTCACGCTGCTCAGCCATTTGAACTTTGAGCTGATTGGATAAATGTTCCGTGTGGTGCCATTCAAATGTTTTGTTCCACTTTTGGCGCATCCACTTTATATTGAACATTTATCTAACTCTTATCATTTTATTGAGGAAAATTATATTGCGATTATTATTGTTATTGTTTTATCACCCAGCCCTATGCATGACAATCAGATGCAATGCTATTACTCTTGGAAAATGCTTTATTACAAAACTGACCTTTAACAATTACTTAAACAGGTAGATAAGGGCATAGGTCATTAGTTAAACTACCGTGCAAAAGTTTGGGAAAAGAAATGAACACTTCTGATTTCAATAAAATAAACAATACTGATTTCACGATACGATTTTCTCATGATTTTTTTTTAACAAAATGAGATTTAAAGACCAATTATAAATGAAAAGGTGTACTTTTATAATTTCTCTGACAAAATGCTGCACATTTATTTGTGAAGTTGAAATGTCAAATAACAAATTAAATATTTTTAAACAAATCCCAAATCAAATAAATACAAATAAAAGAAATATCTTGATATAAGCAAACCAAGTCTTTGTCTGTGCTCTTTCCATTTAAAAGGCAACCACTGCATTTTAATCACGATCCAAACAAAGATGCTGCATACATGCAACATGAGCATACATGCAGCTGATTTAAATTAGACAGTTTAATTTCGAAATATGAAACAAAACCAGAATGGTCTGACTTTAGCTTTGTTAAAATATACTACATAAAACATATCTGAAGGAAACAAAATCAGCAGATGGACCGAATGAGCGCAAATTCACTTATGGCACACTTATGACACTTATAGAACATCAGCAATACAGCATTTCCCTGGTTACCGCTGTAAACACTACATTAACATGCATTATACAGAGGCAAGATCAGGGTTCGCAAAATCGCTAGCCTGACATCCCTGGGCTATTGTGTTTACCAGTCGGACTACCAAAATGCATCACCGCCCTATTTTGGTAGCCTGACTGGAAAACACAATCATTGGTTCTTCTCATTCGTGACCTGTGTTTTGTTTTGCTCTCTGCTTTGCGCTTCTGCGTTCGTCACTACTCACCAGAGCTTACGCTACACCTACATCATCTGCTGGAAGCTCCGGTGAGAATATGCTAGTCTTTAGGGCTGGGTTGGGTTTTGGCACAAATTTCACGATTCGATTCGAATCTCATTCACAAGCTTGCAATTCGATTCGATTACCGATTCGATATCGATAACATTGGATATATATCAGGTACAGTACATGCCAAATTTTCTCAAGGGAAAAAAAAAACTCAACTAATGCTGTAAAATATACATGAGTCAGTTGGTACAACATTACTATAATACTGAAGGTTAAAAAATAATGAAGTTTTTACAATAATAAAGTTAGTTACATTAATATTTCTACTTCAATTCTTTTTAAACAAACATTTAAATGGTGGCTCTCATAAAAACTTGATGGATTTATTCAAACATAAATTAAACACTGAAGAACAGTAAAAAATAATGAATTATATGGAGCATATATTAAGCAAATGCCCCTCACTACAGTTTTTTTTATCTGACTAATGAGTTTTTGGTCACCGAAAGTGTTTTTTTTCTGAGGTAAATGTGACGTTAAGTGACATTGTTTACAAGCCGTTATATTGGCGTCTTTGCACGGCTGAAACACTGATTGAGCGATTACATGAGACAGGATATGGATTGTAAAGTTGTACTCTTTCTTTTAACTTACCTTTGGATGTTTAGTCATGTTTATTTTGTGCCGAAACTGGTATTAATGTGGAGGAGATGATCAGTTCATGTGCGCCTCGCACTGTGAACTAAAAGGCACTACAGTGATCTGTCACTTCACATTCACAACAGTGCCAAAACGGCATTTATTATTTAAATACTGCAATACAATGACAGAATTTGAAATCTGAGACTTTGTTTCATATTAAAAGTACCAAAGCACAATGCTTATTGCTATATATTGGATGGGAAGACCCCTTCAATGTTCTGTCCATTAACGGAAAACAGGCTAGACTAATCGATTCTTGGGATTTAGGAACAACATTACTATAATACTGAAGGTTAAAAAATAATGAAGTTTTTACAATAATAAAGTTAGTTACATTAATATTTCTACTTCAATTCTTTTTAAACAAACATTTAAATGGTGGCTCTCATAAAAACTTGATGGATTTATTCAAACATAAATTAAACACTGAAGAACAGTAAAAAATAATGAATTATATGGAGCATATATTAAGCAAATGCCCCTCACTACAGTTTTTTTTATCTGACTAATGAGTTTTTGGTCACCGAAAGTGTTTTTTTTCTGAGGTAAATGTGACGTTAAGTGACATTGTTTACAAGCCGTTATATTGGCGTCTTTGCACGGCTGAAACACTGATTGAGCGATTACATGAGACAGGATATGGATTGTAAAGTTGTACTCTTTCTTTTAACTTACCTTTGGATGTTTAGTCATGTTTATTTTGTGCCGAAACTGGTATTAATGTGGAGGAGATGATCAGTTCATGTGCGCCTCGCACTGTGAACTAAAAGGCACTACAGTGATCTGTCACTTCACATTCACAACAGTGCCAAAACGGCATTTATTATTTAAATACTGCAATACAATGACAGAATTTGAAATCTGAGACTTTGTTTCATATTAAAAGTACCAAAGCACAATGCTTATTGCTATATATTGGATGGGAAGACCCCTTCAATGTTCTGTCCATTAACGGAAAACAGGCTAGACTAATCGATTCTTGGGATTTAGGAATCGATATCGTTCCGTAAAAATGAGAATCGATTAATATAGAGATAGATATTTTTTACCCAGCCCTACTAGTCTCGTGAGAACCAAGTTTTGTTTACAGCAAAGGAAAACCAGTCTCCTCTTGACTTATATATCCTTGTTTTGTGGAAGGTTGTAGGTTGTGCGGAAGGTCCTACGTCATCCGCTGGAACGCCACTCTCTCGTGAGCGCGAGTATGACAGTTAGCGGAAACTAGATTAAGTAAATAACAAATAGAATCCTTTGCCATCTGAGAGCTTTGACACTAAACCAGTATTGAAGCAGTAAGCGGTGATCCCACAAAGTGCTCACCTATCAACAAATGTCAATCGTTCAGGCCCAAAATCACATAACGTACCTACTACCCCATGGCACAGTTTGTGAACTGAGCCAATGAAAGCAAAGAAATTGCCAGAGAATACAAAAACTTTCTTTGGCCATGAAGTGCATCCCGTAAGGGTTTCAATAGCAGCTAAACAAAAATACCAGATTGTTCCTATGGCCCTGCAATGACCTCACATGTCAATATTGTACATTAAAATTATACTGGATAAGCACCTCACCAAAGTAAGTTACCATTCACATTTCATTTTTGAGGTTGTCAACTGATTTTGATTCGAGAGCAAAACAAACAGCGCTGACTTCTGTGTGAAACTTACAGATGGTCAATGGGTTTTCTGATGGTGCAGATGCCAAACATTGCCTTGTCTTGACTGAAGGTCAATGTTGAACTCATCTAAATGTATATTCGACAATGTTCTGTGATTAATTACTTGCATTTAAGCTATTGCATAAGTTCAAAGTGCACCCATCCAACTCTGACCAAAACCTACCTGGTAAATTCAATGGGGCAAAGCATAAGCAATTGTCCATTCCATGTTGCTAGGCACAGTATGACCTGCTGTCAGCTGAGCATGTGAAGTGCTTTGGGATGTTTGATCGGCGGTCTCTAAAAAGGCAGATATCAAAAAAACTCTCTCAATCTAATGACGCGACATGCAGCGGCACCGTCTCAGTCCGGCACGGGTGAAATAATTATGCTGAAGGTGAGGTGCAATTCATATTTCTTCATTAAATAACTCTTAAAGTAATTTGAAAACCTTCTGTGGGACATAATTTCACAAACAGCGTGAGTGAATCACCACGTGCGCGCTCTCTCTTTTCCTCTCAAAATGCGCAAATGGCTTCAAATCACCACACATCGCGTCTGTCTATAAGCGAGCTGCACAGTTGAAAGGAATTGTCACTTGCACAACCGAGGCAGTGTTGCATCATCACTAAAGTTTATAAATTGCATTTCTTTTTAATTCTTGCCAGTGTTTAAACCATTCAGCACCCGCGCGCTCTCCTGGAGACTGTGCACTCATGCACACTCGCAGTGCGTACACATAATGCCAGGTTCTCATTACTCCGTTTGCAGTGTGTATGCGGTGCGTATTTTTTCCACGCTTATATTAACGGATTAAAGCGTTCACACTGCACACGGTTGCGGTCCGGCAGTGAGCTCCAGTAGCGGTGCGTCTGCAGCAGTGCAAAGATTGTTTCCACACCGAGTCTATTTTTGCTGTACTGCAATCGCACACTATTTTTGCTGTCCTTTTGTTTCTGTCAGTGGTAAGTTTTAAGTGGTAAGACTGTTTCTGTCAGAGGTAAGTTTTAATTCAGAATGTTTGTGATAACGTAAGGAAAGTATTTTAAATGTTTTGCCACTTGCTTGAGCAACATTTTCTGATGTGCGTAAGCTATTGTGCAACAATTGCATGAATGTAAAAACAAAAATGCACTGCATGATCGAACATTTAAGGTGAGATAAATATATATTTTTGAAAAGTGTCTAAAAAAATGCTATCCTCTACCCCTCGAATTAAAAAAATCCCCTCTCACAAGAGTCATAAGAGGGGAATTCCCCCCATTACCAAAAATGAAATTTAGGCCCTGAACAAATGTCTAAAATTCCTGATTGGAGTATTACTATAAATAATTCTACATGATAAAAATAAGGTTTTAAAAAGATTGTTATCTGTGATTGTATCGGCAGATACTGCTTTCTGTGATTGGTCTCAAAAATCCTGATCGGAGAACACCCTAATTATAATTGTATATAACATCTTTCTTGTTAGGGAAAGATGCATGGGTATGAATAGGTGGTGTGGGCAGCTTTTATTATGAATATTGGTTTAGATATAGTTTCTACAACCTTCCAAAAACCTTGTATCTGCTGCACACTCTAGCTGCGTTTACACCTGGCATTAACATGCGATCACCAGTTTCAGGTTCTGTTTTTGCGCTGTTGTTCTGTATCCTTCTAACAGTTCGGGAGAGAGGGGGCGCGGTTTTGCGTGACGTCGACATGCGAATGCAGACACGTTGGCTGGATTGTGTTTACATTACACAGATCCGATCACAATGCATCCTCAACTACCTCTAGACCAGGACACACTGATCGGATAACATTATGATCAGAAGTGCGTTTACACTTGTCTTTTCAATGTGTATGTGGACAACATCCGGATACAGGTCGCATGTTAATGCCAAGTGTAAACTCAGCCTCTGAGTTATAACATTTTAAATTTGCTGCCATATTAAGTCAAATTATGCCAGAACAGAAGGTTTACCAGTACAATCCATATTTTTTATAATACATTTTAAGATACTGAGGGTCCTTCAATGTGATACACATTTCATTGTAGCCGTTTTTTGGTTAGATTTTACATACTCTATGGAGCCAATGGCTTGTAAGTTATTTGTTCTGTACAAATAGATACATTCATTGATCACGTCTTGCATGCTGCAGAAGTGCAGTTGTTCAAAAATATAAATTCTGTCATCATTTATTCACCTTCATTTAATTGCAAACCTGTATGAAAGTTATTTGAAAGTTATAAAGTTATCAACGTTACTGATATTCAAAATGGTAAGCAAGGGCTGCTTTGTTTACATTTCGTATATCTGCGTTTATCTCATATATCTTTGTTTCGGTTTCACCTTTTGAATGACAAATATATAGTATTGATAGCTGCTGATATAGACAGTTAATTCCCTTCACGCATGCGCAGAACGCACGTGTTAGTTTGCCGTCATCTGTAGTCTGTGCGGTGTGTTCGAGCGCAGCTTTTTGGTCCGATGCTGCCGACATGAGGCAACAACACCGTCGGCTTTCGTCGCCGCTAGTTCTTTGAAGTCGGCTTGGTGTGTCCCGCCCTTAAGAGGTCATTGTACTATCCTGTAAGTTTCAGAACTCAAAACGTTCTCGTTAGTCTAAAAACAGCTTATATTGAAGCCAATCTGTCAAAACAACAGGTTGTGGAATGTGCCACTTTATGACATAATAGTGTGGCTAAACACCGCCTCTGCAGAAGATGATCAATGCCTGCTTCGATGTCGCTAACTATCTAGCAACACCGTCGGCTTTCGTCGCCGCTAGTTCTTTGAAGTCGGCTTGGTGTGTCCCGCCCTTAAGAGGTCATTGTACTATCCTGTAAGTTTCAGAACTCAAAACGTTCTCGTTAGTCTAAAAACAGCTTATATTGAAGCCAATCTGTCAAAACAACAGGTTGTGGAATGTGCCACTTTATGACATAATAGTGTGGCTAAACACCACCTCTGCAGAAGATGATCAATGCCTGCTTCGATGTCGCTAACTATCTAGCCAATAATATCGCGATATGAAAAAACACGATTTTTTAATCGCAGAGGCTGTGATTACACGGTCACGTGACATGCGAGAGTGAAGAGGTGTGTTCCACTTGAAGATCGATCGGTGTATGACATCAAAGTATGGCGAGAGAAAGCATAAGGAGATGTCCGCGCTCTCTTATAGCTCTCGCAGTACTTTGATGACACACCCATCGGTCTAAGCAGCGCTGCTTCAAGTCGAGCGCGGGCCATCAGCAGAAAAAGAAAATAAATAAAACAGTAAACAGCCAAAGGACGTAGCCTAACTTAGAATGGGAGATGGATCGGTTTGTGAAAGGGAAGAGAAAAGCCATAGATAAAGTCGCACAGACCCAGGCAGGTGCTGGTCATTTAAAAGCTAATCGCAGAAAATATGACGAGGCATATCTTGCTCTCGGCTTCACTCTCCGTGTCTATACCGGACGCTACAGTTGTTGTGTAGCGCCGCAACAGCTCTACACTGGACGCGACAAAGTGACCGTTGCAAATCACTTTAACTTTGTGTCAGTACGTCATAAACAGAACAAGGCATCAGCTTAATGTCGGGTTTTGTTGTGTCGTGCCCTATTACAGTCTATGGTCGCGCCGCATCCAGTGTACACACCGTCACTGATTATAATGGGTTCTACTGTATTTTGCCGCTCTCACGTCCAGTGTAGACACGGTGTTTAATGTCGTTGGTGAGGAGGAAAGCCTGTGTGTGTATGTCCTATGCCTTAGCGGACAGCAAGAAACTCACAAAAAATGTATAAATAACAGAGAGAGAATAATAATAAGTTATTCTCTCTATGCTATTTTTCAATGTTTCAAGTGATGCAGGCGTTTTTTTTCCCTGTAGGTTTTTTTAATTAAAAAAAGCATACATTTTTCATTGTGTTTAGTGAAATTATTTGGTACTCTGATGGGATGGGGATTTGGGAAAGGGGGAGCAAGATTTTTTTTATAGGTTTAAAGGGGGGCACGACCAAAAACGTTTGAGAACCACTGGTCTAATGTTAACATACAGTGTTACTACACTATATGTGCTTAAAAAGTGCAGTCCACATGTTTACATATGTTTATTACAGTGACTTTGAATTACCTAAAGTAGTGTGGTAAAGCAACAGATTTGTTTTTATATTTCTGCAATCTACATTAGCTTGCGTGATTTGTTACTGACTTTCATATTAATGTTTACACCAGGCTTATTTGTGCTTATTTGTTATATGTTGTCATACATGCTTACAAGGTTGGAAGTTCAACAAATCAGTCAATATACTACTGTGATTGTAGTTGTTAAATAAAAATGTCATTCATATCAATTCCCGCATCACCTAATTTCATCGTAGGGGGGGGGTAATAAACAATTTCTCAAGAACAATTTTTTAAGAGGACAAATAATACAGCAAAAAATTGTACTTGTAAGGATATGTATACACAGAGGAAAGCCTTACTACTATTAGTTGCAGCAGGGAGACCGTGCCAAATTAGGGCTACTTTACCACTGTTGCCACGGGTTGTTTTTCATGTCCGCGAGTTGAAGCGACCCCAATAATGTGTATTTTAGCCACCGGAACACGATTTTTATCAGGGGACCCCTTTGAAACGCGGATAGTTTGGGCTAGTTTTGGGTAGCAATTGGGCGGGTTTTGTTGTGAAAACCTGACAACCCTTTCCGTTAAGCAGGTAACGGTATTACTGCTAACATAGCGAAAAATACATTGGCATCTGTATTAGAGAGAAAATAAATCACTTCATCCAATGTTTAAGTGGATAAAATAGCCTTGACAGCCTTACTGGAGTTCCACAACTATTGTTCTCTCTCAACGGACTCGTGTGTGTGTGTAGGTGATGTAAAAGAGGAAAGCAGGCATTTGGACCAAATCACTGCGAGGCAAGGGAGGGGGAGACTCGAAATGTTTCTCAAATTAAAACGCATTTTTGCCCCATTTGTGTTGTTTAACACCTTACACAATTATTCAAAGTATAAAACATTGTTATTTACAATACACAGCATCCCCTCCCAGGATTTCCGCCTATGGTCTTTGCATTGCCTTCCTTCTGGTCCCAACATTAGGAAAGAGTGGATGAAGTTTATTTTTAATGAATATCCAGACTGCGTCAGTAAGAACTTGGGCCTTTGTTCACTTAATTTCACAGTGGATTAGTTTACAAACAAGGCACAATTCAATGCAGGATTTTCAGAAAGACTGAAACTAAAAGACGATGCTGTGTCGAATCCGACAGTAATGTCGCACACACAAGCGTGAGTAACTTATTACATGGTCACTATTGCTTTGTCTGTTATTACAGATCGTTTGATATGTAGTGAGTATTTATGCGTTTTTAACCTAAATCACAGCAGCGTCCATCTCTTAAGGATGTAGGCTGTCAAACATGCACAACTGTTAGCCAAGTGGGCATTTTCTTCCGAGTCTACAATCAACCATGCCTATTCAAACAGAGCGTTTCCATGAGAGGGGTCAAAACAGGACAGAAAATAGCCTATTACTTCTAAATTGTGATGTTTTTATGTAAAAATCTTGAGAACACTATAGGTGGACCTCAGAGAACAGTACAAAATAATAAAAAGGCAGTTCATGACCCCTTTAAGGCCGCTGCAGCATGTCAGCATTTGATCTAGCATGATTAAAATTAGGGCTGCACAATAAATCGAAAAAAAGAGAACACACGATTCGGCGGTTGGCAGCGATTTATGCGCAGCTTGTTAGTAAAGTATGGTTGAATGCTGCTGCTGCATCTAAAAGACAGAGGGCGCTCTGGTGCAGAAACTCCAAATATGCCCCGCAGAAGACGTACCATAACACGCGTAGTTCCAGCATCTTTCTATCACTGTACTTCAAGCCTTCTCAGGTATTTTCATTAAAATAAAGTATATTTATTATGATGATGTTTGACAAATGTTGCTTTTACAAATGCACATTATAAGCGACTCAAACTCGTAGTCATTTCAGATGGAGCAGCACTTCCTACTGATCAAAGAGCCGTGCTTCACGGACAAACTGCGCATAAAAACATAATAGCAGCCTTTGCGATATCAATCGCACTAGACAGGCCGATTTACACAAGATTTAGTGTAGGTGATGTAAAAGAGGAAAGCAGGCATTTGGACCAAATCACTGCGAGGCAAGGGAGGGGGAGACTCGAAATGTTTCTCAAATTAAAACGCATTTTTGCCCCATTTGTGTTGTTTAACACCTTACACAATTATTCAAAGTATAAAACATTGTTATTTACAATACACAGCATCCCCTCCCAGGATTTCCGCCTATGGTCTTTGCATTGCCTTCCTTCTGGTCCCAACATTAGGAAAGAGTGGATGAAGTTTATTTTTAATGAATATCCAGACTGCGTCAGTAAGAACTTGGGCCTTTGTTCACTTAATTTCACAGTGGATTAGTTTACAAACAAGGCACAATTCAATGCAGGATTTTCAGAAAGACTGAAACTAAAAGACGATGCTGTGTCGAATCCGACAGTAATGTCGCACACACAAGCGTGAGTAACTTATTACATGGTCACTATTGCTTTGTCTGTTATTACAGATCGTTTGATATGTAGTGAGTATTTATGCGTTTTTAACCTAAATCACAGCAGCGTCCATCTCTTAAGGATGTAGGCTGTCAAACATGCACAACTGTTAGCCAAGTGGGCATTTTCTTCCGAGTCTACAATCAACCATGCCTATTCAAACAGAGCGTTTCCATGAGAGGGGTCAAAACAGGACAGAAAATAGCCTATTACTTCTAAATTGTGATGTTTTTATGTAAAAATCTTGAGAACACTATAGGTGGACCTCAGAGAACAGTACAAAATAATAAAAAGGCAGTTCATGACCCCTTTAAGGCCGCTGCAGCATGTCAGCATTTGATCTAGCATGATTAAAATTAGGGCTGCACAATAAATCGAAAA